TCGCGCGACACGATCATTGTACATAAAAATACAGCGCTTGAAATCTCTATATATTCAAAGATATTACTTGTTATAAAAGAAACTTGTGTATAAAAATTTGCATACAAAAATTGATTCATTAACATGACTCTTGAGAGAAAGAAAGATATATAGGTATATAATATAAAAGATATATAATATTTCATTCTGTCAAACTAGTTGTACTACAAACTACAGACAAATGATTGATTTGTGAATACCGAAATTGCAAACGCTGAAATGTGTCTGAAATATGTATGTCCCACGGTAAATTCTGTCTGTGCCATGATTAAGAGGTACAGATGGGTGTTGCGCGAAATGACACGAGGAACTTCACACGCATTTAGACAAATAATGACCAAATTTATTGCCCCCGGACTGGAAATCGATGGGACAGCGACCGCGTTGCGGAAGTACGGAGATTATTTATTACCCGCGAGATAGCCCTCGTCTGAAAAGCAATGGTAGTTTTTTAGTCTTATCGACGTCGGCCGTATTAAAGCGAGGAGAACAAAGAAGAATGACGGAGTGTTTATAAATTTATCGGCAGTGACAGCGAGGAAATAGTTCGACGCGCAATTTATAAGAATGCTAAAGCATGCACCTTATTTATCGTCAAAGCGTGCAACAAAGCCGCCACGTGCGGTTAATAATTTTGATATTATTAAAATCAATAACGCCGATGAATCGAGAAATTGTCACAAAATACAACATAGGCACAAAAGAGTGCAGTGAAAATGACGTATTAATTTTCATAACTTTAAATTTCAATATTTTACGGTATTTATTTGGTTGAATAAATAAAAATATTCGAACAAATAAAAATATATATATGCGTGTGTGTGCGTGTATGATGATTAATTTAATTTCGATCTGGCCGATTTTGCTTCGACAAAAAATATTTCTTTTAAATGACGGTAATAACATTAACAATGGACTTTAGTGGCGAATCGTTAAACATTTTATGCACATGTGTGTGTATGTGTGTGTGGGTGAGACACTTGTTGTTCTCATTCCAACCCGTCGCGATAAGTGCATTATCCGTTAGCGAACATTCGCTGAGCTTTACGATGCGGTGCAATGTTTTACGGTGTATCAGCAGCAAACGGAAAATCACGATTTGTCATTTTCAGTTTACTTTATAGTCCGGCACTACCAATCGTCGCATGATTCACCAACGTCGCAATAAATCGTTACCATAAAGCATGATTCTTTCTCTCTCGCTCGCAAATCGTGAAATATGTCGCAATAAAGAGGACAGTCCATGTTGAATTTTTGTGTGCAAATGTTTTTTCGCAAATCGGGAAACATAAATATTCTTATATGAGACATCCTGTCGTGAAAGGATATTAATACATGTAATTTGTCCGCGTTCACATCATTAAACAAATTTTAAAATTAGAACGTCAAAAATTAATTATGCATCGCGCTTGAATCGAATATTTCTGGAAAGTATTAAGAGACGTCTTTTAAACTAATTGCAAGATATTGTGACTTCATGCATCATTATCGAACGAAGCATTAAAAATAAAGTAAAAATTATTCAAGAATTATTAAATTGAAATTCAATGCAGATTGCGAAGCTAACGGAGTTTCATTAAATCAGGCAGATTCTTTAAGTCAAGCGTAATAAAATACCAAATTACGTTGATTCTCATTAATTCTGTGTGTCAGGGAGTGATTTCGAGCGACAGAACGAACTGGCGTGCCTCTCTACGCTCTGATCGTGAACAGTTCTTTGCGCGAGGGTCTCGAGGGGCTGGAAACTGTCACGGACGTGGCGAAGTGTCGAGGCCGGGTCGTAAGTAAAATGAATTTAACATTTGGCGTTTATATGCGGCCTGCAAACTGCGCGCCGTGGGAACGAGCTCGACAAACTCGACGTCGCGAGTTAGGCGCGATGTCGTATATGCCTAATATCCTCTGTACGCGCGCATCCACGGCTTCTCTGTACACATTTACGACGACGGGAATCAGTTGCCATACGGCGCCAAAATTTATCGCTCACGTAATGGAGAGAGGCGGATTCACCGTGAGATTACAACGGCTTGCATCCCCGCCAAACTTTATCGGCGTTTTATATCAATGCGAATTTGATAGTTCAACGTGCAAAAATTACGACAGCTTGTACGAACTTGGAACTTTGAATTATTCACATATTGGCAGACTGTCAATTTCAAATTTGAGATTAAGTAGATAGTAGAGAACTTATGCAACCGGAATTAAACGAGAATTTTGCATAGAACTTTGATAATTGATAATTTGATAATTGATGGGAGAACTTACGGGCGATTAAATCACGACAAAGAAGCAAAGATGAATATCTCACCTTTCTCTCTCTCCGACGAGATTCTCTGTGTAATTTTCTCCGGAGCGGAAACGTCGGAGTGCAAATGTCACGATTATTATCGTAAAGGACGTTATAGAAAAGATCATTGAGAATAATTATCTTGTAACAGAGAGATTAGGAAAAGTACATTATATATGTATAGCGAGTTGCTCGCTTTAAATACAGGCAACGGCAATTTGTCTAGCGCCGCGGATGTAATTATCATTGACAATGCACGTTGAAGTATCTGCGACACAATCTACGAGAGTGTCGAAATCGTTCCATTAACGATGGTCACCACAGGTTATCCGCAATTCAGATATTGTATAATCGAGTAGAGCTAGTTTAACAAAATTTCACCCTCGGCTCTCGAAATCCGTGTTACAAAATTACATCTAAAAGTAAGCTCGCGTCTAATAAAATCAAGCGACGTGCGAGGCAAACTAATTTCTTATTTATGCCATACAAAATTAAACAAATTAATTTTATCCCTCAATCTTTTTATCAAAATGTGACATTAATGCGTTACATTTTACTTCAAACGTCAAATCAATTCTCTAAGAAATGTTAAATGTAATTGACAGTGAGAAATGACAAGTGCAGTTCATGGACTGTTGAGAAATTCGCGACAAAGTGATTACGATCGGGTAAATAAGGTAATCTCAAGTGCTTTCTGAGATTATTAGAATTGATGCCGTCGATTCGACGCATGGAAATAGCGTTTCCATAATAGTGCGAGGAAATCGCTCCATTAATGGTGATCACCTCAAGTTACCCGCAATTTGGAAATAATTGGACAGGGCAAAATCGAATCCGACAATTTAAGCCTTGCGCCATCGGCATATTTCCGCACGTTAATCGACATCTGTGATGCTGCACAATTTACATTTTGTGTGCACAAAATAGTGCGTAAGTGTCTATTTTGCGCGACAAAATTGATTATGCTTTTGTCAAAGCGCATTTAAATAAAAATCGGTGAAATCGACCATTCACAAAATGACGTTTTCCTTCCGCCTCGGGGCGAACCTGGAAAATTGCCTAAAAAAACAATCCACTCAAAACGTTATGAAATTTTCAATGAAACAGCGTTGAAAACGCGACGACAGGATACGATTCTCGCGATGAACATTCTCTTCTGGAGTGCTGGGTATCCCTGACACTTTCCTATTTGACTTTGTCTCTTTTCTCACGCGGCACTCGATCTAACTCACACATTATAGAAAACGGTGCGTGTAATACGTGACGTACGTGTGTAACATGTAATGCTATATATCATATATATATATGCCTATTATGTATATAGATCCGAGCTGAAGCTACGAAGCGTGAGAACGGCTATCTATGGAGCATCGCTATTGTGTGTTGCACTCGTGAGTCTTGTGAGTCGGACAGAAGAAGCCGCGAGATGCCCGTCACGGGCGCGGGATAGGGTTTTTCTGGTCACGGCTGGGACGAGGTGGGAAGCGGGTCGAGTCTCTCATGGCAGCGAGGGATCCCTGATAGCGAACGGACAACGAAAGTGGCTTTATTTCCGACGGCGATAGAGCGCCGAGGATCCCGCGGGGATCCCCGCTTCGCACCACCGAGGGGCGACGCAGACGGGATAATTCTCGGTAGTTTTCCGCATGGAAATTCGGCCGCGAGCTCGTTAAGCGAGAACGAGACGCGTATCCATAATTGGTAATTGGACGGTAATTAAGCGGCGGGAGCCGCGATTAAATCACGTTTTTATTGCTGCGATTTCGACGACCAACTAATTACTTATTAATTTCAAAATATGCGTCGTATTAGAAAATTATATCAATATTCATATAAATATATATCTTTACATTTTTTAAATATGCAATTCAGTGAGTTTTAATTACAACCGTGTATATTTAATAAATTTGGGCGGTACACTGTTAAAGGTTAGAGGATGAAATTTAAACCAATACCATGAATTAGATTTATTTTGTTATTTTTAACTACCATGTGCGTCACAATTTATTAGTTTGAAACAAAATAGGATTATTTTAACTCCATTGGTTTAATCAAATTAACATTGTTTTAGTTAAATTAACTACATATTGAGTAGGAGCAGTGGCGACCTATGGAATAGTTAAAAATTACTCAAAATTGAGTTTAATTTAACCCTATGAATTTAACAGTGAGATGTAGCGTTAATAAAATATTAAACAAGAAATTTATTATTAATTTTTGAATGGCTTTATATTTCACACTAGCTGAAATATATTATTATGACTGATTGTAAAAGATTCAAATTTTTACAATAACGAAACATCAAATGCAAATTGACAAATACAAATTTTTAGTATTCGGAAAATTTGCATTGATAAATCAGAAATTTCTGAAGATTTTATCATATTGGTATCATCACGCATCGCACACAATAAATAAAAATTTTGCGACAAACTTTCCAAAGATCGTAATCGTGAAAATGGAGATTTTCTCCTTTGTCGCACCGCACGGCGGGCTATATCGCACTTGGGACAGCCACATTTCGCGGTCCCTCGCTCTCTGTCACCCTTCGCTTCCGGTTTACCCGAGTAAAAGCGCGTGTAGCTCATTCGGAAGAATTTAAGGGATCGATAATCTTAGTGCTCTCGGTGTGTATTGAGCGTGTGTCGGTGTGTAAGTGGAGACAGTAGTGTACCTGGTTGCCGTCGTAGGTCCAGGATCCGAACTTCATGTCACAGTGTTGGTCGTCAAAGGGGAACCAAGTGATGTCTATCTTGCATGTGCTCTTGAAGATGCCCGGAGGGACGTACAGGCAACTGCCGTTATGCGTGACCACCACGTTTGTTTGGTACGTCCCGTCGAAACCCTCATCCGCACTAACGTTTCATATCATACTTTCATTAATTACCCTCGTCAGTCGTCAATCGTGATCGTTTCGCGGCCGGTTTAATCGCGCGTCTCTTTAATCATCGCGTGATGGAGCCGGGAACGTCATCGGTTCTTGTTGCTGCCGGCAAGATCTCGCAGGAAGGATATTAACAGACGAAGAACGACGACTGTCACGTTTACGTCGGAGGTAAGGAGATGGATGGGGATATTTGAAGCATGGGAATTTCTCCGTTCCAATTACATTTACTTGCGACACCGTAATATCCATTAGAAACGCTGTCTTGCGCGGGAAAAAAATTAAGCAGATTCATGATTAAGCACAATTTTAGAAATGTCAAGATTATCGATCTTTATCTTACTTTACGAACGCGCTGTATTTCCTCACGTATTATGACTTGTACTTTCACCATTTATCTAAATCATTTTTCTTGCAACATCCTGAATGAATAATAAGATGAGAATCGCGAAGGTGAAGGAGAACGATAAAACGGGACACTCGCGAATGTTATTCATGCCATCATGAAAATGCAAACCGTTTAGAACCGCTTTTACGAGAGGCTCTTTAAGTGCAACGTGCGACCTGGAACTAAAAAAAAGCGAAAGGGTTCGAAAGGGTAAAAAGGGAGAAGAGAAAGGATACTGTGAGCCAGTTCGTGTTAACCCCTCAAGAATAATTCGAAGCGACCACTTAAACAGCGTTAAAGGATAAAAGCGGATACTTGTACCGGTCTCGGGAACCTGTGCGCGCGAATTTTTATGACATATTTATCTGGCGGCTTATTAAGATTTCGAATGTCGCATGTTGGGGCGGCAAACGCGCGAGGGTGTGCGAAAGGTTATTCCTCCGGAAAACGTGCTAATAAATGGGACGGCCCTGTACGCTGTTATACGCAAAGTACGCGCTTGGCGAAGATAAATCGAATATTACGACGATCTTGCGAGACAACTTGTAGAAATTGATACTGCGTGCTCGCGAAAATGTTCGATGTAGGTGGCATCGACGTTAATGTTCCCTTGAAATCGCTACGAGAAGGCGGCATCGGCATTGTCGAAGGTTTCGAGGATGTCATTCTCGCCAATCGAAAATCGATACCGCCGTATCGTTAAAGCCCTTGCGCTTCTCTCGTTACTTTTACACGTTATCGCGAAATGGAGAACGAAGGGGATAAGACGGAGGATGACGGGGAATAAAGGGGCGCTTCAATGAGTCTTTTCGGGGAGAATAAAGTTAATTAATTCCAGCAGAGAATTGAATTTTTTTTAGCACCACTGTGTTAATCATTATCTCGTATCTCTTCGTACGTGATCTTGCCGCGCTCGTCCGTTCATTCGCAATGAGATATTAAATATTCGGTCTCGTCGGTTTTGTGTGTTTTACCATTTGTCCCAGATCGCGGGATGGGCGACGTATGCTCTTTCGATGTTGATCAACGCGCGTTTTAATCGAACGCGCGCGCGCGCGCGTGCGACACGGTATCAGGGAAAATAGGCTTTATGAAATCGATCGGTGCGAAAAACCGGTCGAACGCTCTCTCTAATGTACGTTTATTCCGGCGCGTCATGGATAGCGGCATTGTCGTCGTTGTTGTGTGGCTAATGAAGACTAACGAGAAACGGGATTTCGCCCAAAAAGTGTGTCCGGCTAATTAATCTCGTTCGTGCACGACGGAACGAAACTGTGTTGCAGCGAGTACCGGGCATTGGATTTTGTCGATCGTGTTCCTCTTTTACGGGAACCTCGTTATTCGTTGCCGCATTTGTCTCTGAATGCGCGCGAGGAGCGCGCGGATACGCCGGGATACAGTACTACTACGGGAGTTTTGTGGCCGTTATTGTGATGATATTGTTATTGTGCGAATGCGTGTTAATTAGCTACGAAGAAAAATACTGCACGGCTACAGCAATTTGTAACAGAATCGTGAGAAACCGCGCACGTGACATCCGAACATTATCGGCGATCTGGTCAATAGAACCCGCAATAACGACGCGTCGGAATTTAATGATCGAATTGTAAGGGGGCTAATTATAACGACATCAAGGGACGCATTAATATATAGGTTAATAACCGCTCTTCTGACGGATTATCGCGAGATTGACAGATCGTTTCCGGCACATCGTCGACAGGATTGTCAATTACATCGAGTTGCAACAACACGACCTCGATCTATCTCCAATATGATTTCATAGAATTTTCTTGCATGATAAAGATAAAAGCCCTTTTTTATTTTCATTCTTTGCGAAATGATACTCACGTTGTTTGCCGAGTGGAAATTTAATGAAGTACGGCAAGTAATGTACGTCAGCTCGCTTCCATTATCACTGAGTAATACATTGTAAGGAAAGTTGCGACACTCTTGATATAAGTTAACGTAATCCCGTGTAATGGAAGTTACAATTTAGCTTGACATTGCATTGCACTCGATACCGCGCCATCATAAACTTCCCGCGAACTTGCGAAAGTTTTCGTTAATACCCCTCGACCCTGTGACAACAGTGGCCGCAAAAGTTTCCGCTCCAAGAGAAACCAAGTACCTGAATGCCTAACGATTGCTCGACGTTAAGTACTTACCCCGGAATGTCTCATAGGACGGTTAAGAATGTAAGCAAGTTCCGCACATGCCGCAAACTGTCGTTACGCGAAATCTTTTTAGCGTTGTTGGCATACGTTGCCTCGGCAAAGTGTGAAACAAAGCGAAAGGGTATTCAACGCGAGTTAAGAGCGCCGCGGTATTCTGTGACGATGCAAGTTCGTGCAAAACAAAATTTCAGCGACAAAGTTAGCAGATAAATCGCGATAACTCTAACTTGTTCGGACTTACATCATACTGATCTGATGCGTTTGATTAGCAGAAAACGCGACATCGCGGCAACAATAAGCGAGACATGTTAAGCTAGAGAGAAAAAAAAAAAAAAAAAAAAAAAAACAGAAAAGATTTACACATTGTTCTACCGCAGCGGCGCGACGAGGCGGATTTTACTACCATTCGAGATAGTTGCAGTCAGTGCACAATAATCAGGATGCACATATCTCGACATGTTTATCTGGAGCTTAGCGCGATCCGAAAAGCCGAGGGAGGAATGAGTAGGGAAATCCGCGCGAGGGAAAGAAACGGACAAAAGGATGACCAGCTCTGTCTCCACCATTGCGATGTTACGGACGTAACTTGTGAGAGGCTTATGCACTTTATTCGGTTCCCTAAGCAAGCACCTCTGCCGAGGTAACGGCGAATATTTGTACGAAAAGTCCGATCTTGAACGCCTCAATTTCCGAATAGAAAGAACGTCTGTGTGAATTGGACCTTCGAAATAACAATAGTGGAGGTGAATTGCGCAGGTCGTACAAGAACCGTCGAATGTCGTTTCAACCGCAGGACTACTAACGGACAGAAGCTAAGAAAAATAGTAGCTTTAATGGAGATTTAAATTTACGCTTTTGGTGAATTAAGGCTTGAGAGCATAAAAGGTAAAAACTTTGCCTTTCAAAGCTTTAATCAAACGTTGAAATTTAAGTTAATCTTTTACCAAAGTAATCTTATTGATTCTAAAATTACTCTTTCTATGTACATTAAAAGAATAGCTTAATTAATGATCAGTTACAATTTACAAATCATGATTTTAAATTATTAGATTTACGCAATTCTCGCGAGAGGCAGAGCTGTTTAATTAGAAGATTTATTATCAATATGTTCAATGTTGAAAACTAGAAAAATTAACGTCTCGAAATATCAATTAAAAAATATCTACTTTCATTTGATCACAAAACGTATGAGTAAAATAATAGCTTTTTGAAACATGTGTAAAATAAACTATATATTGATGGGACATGTTCACATTTATATACCCATACGTTAACGCCGGAAACGATTACATCTTAAGTGTGATTGACTGGCGATCAAAGCGCGAGTGAGTAAATAAAATAGCAATTGATGCGGCTGGGAACAGTGGAACGGAAGGATGGGCCTCGAGGATAAAACGCGGCTGGACGGGATTAAAAGACAATGTTTATCGAACCGTTCTCACTTCCTCTTCCTTTTGCGGATTCTAGCCTCTAGTTGCGCCAGCGTGCATCAAAGTCCACGCGCTGTCGCGTTCATGAATTCCGAGAGGCATTTTCGTCGATTGTTCCACGTCGAACAAAGGCGAATCCCACTGCGGTGCCTATTGTCGGGTTTTCGGGATAAATTCCCTGTTCTCGAGGATCGCTGACCCACCCACCGGTCTCTCTATGTTTCCTCTCCGTTCCGTCCGCGAGTTCTCGCTTATGCAGCACGTCGCTCTCGTGGGTCGCGATATTCATGAGAGGAGAGCACTTCGGTGTTGTGAGCAACAAGTAAGTCCCGCGCCCTGGATAGTAGAGGCGGGCACCCTCCCTTTTGTTCCGCGAGTAACGAGCGTCCCGCCCTCTCTTCATTGCAACCGTTGGGTATATCTTTAAACAATATCGGCGGGATGGAAGTACACTCAAAACCGATTTAAAGTACGCGATAATCCAAGGTGAGCGAGATCGGCCGAATCGTGAAAAAAGTGGAACAATAATTATCAGAGGCAATTAGGAAACTTGCCGCACAAGAGAGTTCTTTCAACGTACAGCCGGCTGCTCTCAGAAAAGAGACTATGACGTACCCTGCAGACGATGAATAAACTCCAGTAAATTTCGTTAGCGAAACGGTAAGGTGTAAAATCGCTTTTTTTTTTTTAATTTCTAAAAACAGCACGGTATCGAGATGCGCAATGGCTTATGGCTTATGTAATCAGAATCTCTGTATTATTATTCACGCTTTAACGAAATCATCTTTAGATGAAACAGCGAACAGAAAAGTATACATTTCAATTAGAATGAAGAAACTGAATGATTTTAAATGCTGTGTAAAATAATAGAAAATCAAATAATCGAACAATCTTGGAATTTGTAGAGAATATGATTTGTATTTTGTATAAGAATATGTGCAGGGGAAACTAGAAATTTTGCGTTCCTTAATGAGTTAAT